CGGACATAAAGTCTGAGGATGTACTGGACTATACGTGTGTGTGCGCATATATGTGTGTATGGACATAAAGTCTGAGGACGTACTTGACTATACGTGTGTGCACACATATATATATGTGTACGGACATAAAGTCTGAGGATGTACTTGACTATACGTGTGTGTGCGCATATATATGTGTGATGGAAATAAAGTATGAGGATGTACTTGACTATACGTGTGTGTGCGCATATATATGTGTGATGGAAATAAAGTATGAGGATGTACTTGACTATACGTGTGTGTGCGCATATATATGTGTGATGGAAATAAAGTATGAGGATGTACTTGACTATACGTGTGTGTGCGCATATATATGTGTGATGGAAATAAAGTATGAGGATGTACTTGACTATACGTGTGTGTGCGCATATATATGTGTGATGGAAATAAAGTATGAGGATGTACTTGACTATACGTGTGTGTGCGCATATATATGTGTGATGGAAATAAAGTATGAGGATGTACTTGACTATACGTGTGTGTGCGCATATATATGTGTGATGGAAATAAAGTATGAGGATGTACTTGACTATACGTGTGTGTGCGCATATATATGTGTGATGGAAATAAAGTATGAGGATGTACTTGACTATACGTGTGTGTGCGCATATATATGTGTGATGGAAATAAAGTATGAGGATGTACTTGACTATACGTGTGTGTGCGCATATATATGTGTGATGGAAATAAAGTATGAGGATGTACTTGACTATACGTGTGTGTGCGCATATATATGTGTGATGGAAATAAAGTATGAGGATGTACTTGACTATACGTGTGTGTGCGCATATATATGTGTGATGGAAATAAAGTATGAGGATGTACTTGACTATACGTGTGTGTGCGCATATATATGTGTGATGGAAATAAAGTATGAGGATGTACTTGACTATACGTGTGTGTGCGCATATATATGTGTGATGGAAATAAAGTATGAGGATGTACTTGACTATACGTGTGTGTGCGCATATATATGTGTGTATGGACATAAAGTCTGAGGACGTACTTGACTATACATGTGTGTGCGCGCACATATATGTGTGTATGGACATAAAGTCTGAGGACGTACTTGACTATACGTGTGTGCGCATATATATGTGTGTATGGACATAAAGTCTGAGGATGTACTTGACTATACGTGTGTGCGCCAAGCATGACTGGATATCAGGTTTGCCTTCCATAATAACCAGCTCAGTGTCTACGCATCCGTTCATTTATTGAGATCCAATGAGCCATGACTGGAGGTTGACCACTCTCCCACACGCCTGCGGCTCATGCATCTAGCACTCTGTGGTTCTTGGGACTCCACTGATGCTTGTGTCTAATATTTGAGGCTGACCCAAACTCTGCTGTGCCTAGGCTTGTCCTGAGACCTCATCCCGAGACCTAAGTTTGCCCTCCATTCCTTTGTTGGCTCATCCCGTGGCTGCAGAGGTGTTAACACTCACTGCACGCCTGTTCTGCCCAGCTGCACTATGGACTTCCTCCACCTGGCAAACTCCCCAGGTCTGCAGTGTCCTAGCGTGTAGGTGACAAGCAGCTCTACGAGCTGGCATGGACTGAGAGTGACTCAGCTACCTACATGCCCCAGATGCCGCTCCATTCCCACCCTCCTGCCCAACACCCAGCACAGGCACGCACAGGGCCTCACCCTAAGGAACCACTGACCACACATTGTTCCAGAAAAGCAAACATCTCCAGTTCCAAACTTGGTAACTGGAAACAGCTTACACTAAAACACTGGTGAAAGGTATCCTGAAAACAGCCATGGGCAGGACCTACCATCTGCATGGGCTAAAGCCCTGTGTACAGCAGCCAGCTCTCACATGGCCAGTGCAGTTGAAGCGCTGGACCTGGTGGCTTGAAAAACATGTTGGACACGTGTGTGCAAGCCCCAGTCCTGATGGGCCACGGAAGTGAAGGACAAAGGATTATGTGGTGACCACGCCTGATAGGGATGCTTCCCTCTGTCTCTCTAGCAAGTGCACTCCCTTTGGCAATTTAAAAAACAGTCTTACCTCAAATACTTACGTGTGCACCTGACAGATGTACTCCTTTGTGGCTTGCCCACCACACATGCACACACACACCCTTTTACACAGCTCACATATTGAATTAAATTACCCCATTTTAGAATAGTGATTTCCATAAATATGATTTTAATAATTTTCTCTAATTATTTAGAAATAAAACTTTTTCCAAGTAAGAATTAATGGATACACATTTGTTAATTCAAATAACACACACAGGGAATCAGCAGTTAGTGTAATGGCTTGCTAGACTCCCACGTAGTCGTCCGCAGTTCGCGTCCTGGACCCGGTGGCTTAAAACTCACGCCGGGCGCGTGTGCCTGCGTGCCCAAGATCCCAAGAGGAGAATGGAGGAGAAGGGATTGCGGCGTGACTATCCCCCCTGGAGGGTGATTTCTCGCTTTCTGTCTCTCTCTCTCTCTCTGTCTGTCTGGCAAGTGCACGCGCCCTATAGCGGAAAAAAAAAATTCTCCAAATAACACACACACACACACACACACACACACGTAATTTACTTATGTACATACGTGTATTTTTCATCTCTGTAATAAGACTTTAACTCTCATCTTTCCCATGATGGGAGCCGTGGAGCACTCAATTGCAGTGTCCGGCAGCTTCTGTAGACCAAGCAGCTTGGTGCCATGCAGACACGCTCAGGCTTCCTCCAGCTCCACAAGGACACCCCCGCAGTCTTTGGGGTGGAGGAAAACCACTGGCTTCCCATGTGCTCCGATCTTGGCCTCGTCACTCAGACTGCGGATCCTCTTGTTCTTCAAGTCCATCAGGGCTGCCTTTATGTTATCCACCTTAAGGGGGAAAAAGTAAGAATATATCCAAGATCACAAATTACCAAATACAGTATCTTAAAAATCAGAAGCAACTTCAAAAGCTATCATGGTCTGTGTCCTCTGCTATGGGCAGGACCACTCTTAAGGCACACAAAAATAAGCCTAAAACGTTCAGGGAAGTCAAAGTTGCTATCTTTTCCTAGGTAGCACCTGAAGCACATAAGTACTTTTGCCAGTGGTGAGTGTCTTCCTTTACTCCACAAGCACAAAGACTCTACTCTTCGAGTTTCTCCCAACACTGCTCCAGGTGGGAAAGGACAGCTCTCCCCGCAGTGCTCCAGGTGGGACAGGACAGCTCTCCCCGCAGTGCTCCAGGTGGGACAGGACAGCGCTCCACACAGCTCTCCATGGGGGACAGGACAGCTCTCCCCGCAGTGCTCCAGGTGGGACAGGACAGCTCCCCACTGTGCTCCAGGTGGGACAGGACAGCGCTCCCCGCAGTGCTCCAGGTGGGACAGGACAGCTCTCTGCAGTGCTCCAGGTGGGACAGGACAGCTCTCCACCGTGCTCTGGGTGGCATTAGGCACAGTGGCTTCCCACAGCCTTGAGCTCCTCATCTGTTACAGGAGAGGAGTTCTGCCATCCACACTGACGACAGACTAGACAGAGTGAGTTCACAGGTGAGACATCCGTGAGCGCTCATGGCGCACAGTGGGTGCAGAGCTAATGCGAGTGTTTCTCTGATCCCCAAACCTCCCCATTAAACCACCAGGTTTCCACTTTTGAGCTTGAACTTTTTTTGCAACTGTCTTCTAAATCATATCTGCAGCTCCTGGACAGGACCACCTTGTGCCCAATGGAAAAATGCCCTCCTTTATGTTGCAGGTCAGCCTAAGATGGGGACCTGATGACAGACTGAGCAGTAAACCACATAACCTGGCTTGAGCTTAGACCCGACAGCATTCCAGACAGAGCGGGCAGCGCAGAGCCTACACAGCGCGGCGGCCCCCGTGTGCAGACCTAGCAGATGCCCCTACTTCAACCGTCCTGTCTCTGACAAGCCGCAGAGCACTGCCAGAGCCTGGAGGGGCAGACTGGTAGGCAGCTGGGTGTCACCAGACGACGGACCCGCACGTGTTGTGCTGGCACTGTCTTCCCAACAGCCTTTCCTTCTACGTTCGGTGGGCGTGGTGCAGTCCTGCTCAGATGGGGCGGGGCTCACTTCGTGCTGTCTGTGCTGGCCCATCTCCGCAGGATGGACCTGGGGCTGGGCGGGCAGTTGGCCACAGGCTCCACCACAGGGTCATCCTCGGTGAGCAAATCAGCCCACACTGCTCCCAGTCATCATCAGTCCCTTCTAAACTGCCTACGGGGTGTGGGCCTGAGAGAGACCGAGACCCAGAGAGGGAAAGGAAGACATTGGCCGTCTTGGGGTGAGCACACAGCAATCCCTTCTCCTCCACTCTCCTCACAGGAGTTTAGGCACACGTGTACGCATGTCTGCATGTGTGTCAAGCTACTCGAACCTTGTGGTCAGTCATGTGTGATGCAGCCACCTCGAGTGCTGTGGGAACAGGGGGCTTTATCATGTTTTCATTCCTGTCAATATTCTTTTTTTAAGGGCACATGCACTTCCCGGAGAGACAGAGAGAAAGCAAGCGAGAATCACCTCCAGGGGGTGGCCACACCACAGCCCCTTTCCTATCAGTGTCCCTGAGCTCAGTTCTGCCTAGCCGTTAGTCTAGGCCCAATTTCTGCACTGCTATGACGGAGCCCTTCACAACCCACCACCCAGTGCCCTGCAACCTATGAAGTTCCCACCAGGACTGGTGAGACTGTCCTGTCTGCACAATGGGTGACTCATAAACCCCTGGGGGCTCCACAGCTTCCAAGGCATGCATGACCCTGCTCAGAGGCAGACGAGGGGGACCTGCAGGACCCAGAGCATGCTGTCCACACAGCTCGCTCCTTCCAGAACTCCACACTGTGGCTCTCATCAGCATGGCCTCCTGACGCCCAACTCCCACCTCAAGTAGGTCTGAGACCAAGGCAGTGGCAGGTGGGTTCTGGTGAGGGCTCCCGGCCCCACAGGAAGGCAGGGGCGAGTGAGACCTCCGGCCACACACGAGGGTCTACTCTCAGGACTACTCATGTGCTGAAGGTCTTTTCACATCATCGCTCTGGGGGCAAGGGTGCCAGTACCGATTTGGGAAGTGCACACACTGAGTCCCACACTGGCCCTCAGGCTGGCCCAGCTTCACTCTGACTCCCTAAGCAGGCTGCCTCTCTGGGTAGAAGCCCCACCAGCTCTAACTCCAATGCCCTGGGCTGGACCCGCCAGGCCTGGCACCTCCTCAGTCTGGGGCTCCCCAGGGCAGGCCGCTCACATGTGTAACTCACCACAGACACCCTAAGCACTCAGTGCAGTGGCCACCATAGAAATTCATGGAGCTGGGGAACCAGCAGTTAGCGTAGTGGCTATGTCGCTGGACTCCCATGTAGTCGACCGCGGTTCGTGTCCCGGACCCGGTGGCTTAAAACTCACGCCGGGCGCGTGTGCGTGCGTGCCCAAGATCCTGAGAGGAGAATGGAGGAGAAGGGATTGCGGCGTGACCATCCCCCCTGGGGGGTGATTTCTCGCTTTCTGTCTCTATGTCTCTCTCTGTCTGTCTGGCGAGCGTATGCGCCCTACAGTGAAAATCTCTCCCCCCCCCCCAAAAAAAAGAAATTCATGGAGCTGTTTTCAGGCCACAGACAGCGTGTAACATGAAACTTACTCTGCACCAATAAACTTCCTTTAAGTCCCTTTTCTTTCTTTTTTTTTTTTTTGGAGAGGTTTTTGCTATAGGGCACGTGCGCTCGCCAGACAGACAGAGAGAGACAGAGAGACAGAAAGCGAGAAATCACCCCCCAGGGGGGATGGTCACGCCGCAATCCCTTCTCCTCCATTCTCCTCTCAGGATCTTGGGCACGCACGCACACGCGCCCGGCGTGAGTTTTAAGCCACCGGGTCCGGGACACGAACCGCGGTCGACTACATGGGAGTCCAGTGACATAGCCATTATGCTAACTGCTGGTCCCTTAAGTCCCTTTTCTCACAGGGAGACTTCCTATAAGTCTCCTCTTCTGAGGTCCCCTCAGATGTCTGCAATAAAGGAGTGACTACATCCCAGAAATCACTCCAAATCAGCTGCCTCTCTTCTGGACTAAAAATGGGCCTCACTGCTTCCGTCACACAACCGTTCTATCCGATTAGTTCAACTGGCAGCACAACTGCCACGGCTGATATTCTAAAAGGCGATTACCTGAACACGCACATCTACAGGTAAAAGTTCTCTAATGAGAAAGTTCTTGTCTAACAGTTCTTCATTTTTTTCAGGAACTGTTAGCAGATGTGACTCAAAAAGTTTTAAAAAATCACAGTCAGTAATTGAAAATGTATTGCTTTATAATATGAAACACTTATTTGAATTTAAGGACAGAGAAAGAATGACGAGAATTAGCACGTGTATGGAAAGTGTTGCTTTATGAAAGTCTCCCCACCCACTTCTCCTAATTGCCCGTGACAGTGAGAGCAGCTGGGCCCTGGCACGAGGGAGTCAGGCGTGACTGGTATCTCAGCGCGGGGGCTCTGGGAGGCCTGAGCAATGGCTGCCAAAACCAGGCTTCAGTGAGACACTTAACACTATTTTTGTACAGCTTCTAGAAAAAGAACACGTCTGTGGACCCGTCTGAGTAGGGCTGATATACTATCTTCTCCCTAAAGGACTGGACACAGTTCTCAGTGGAAGTGCCCACGCCAGTCAGGGAAAGCAGAAGGCACCCTGTTGGAGAAGGACAAACAAGGAGAGTACCTCGATGCAGATGTGGTGCATCCCTCCAGCCTTGTTCTTCTGCAGGAAGCCCGCGATTGGACTGTCCTTTCCCAGCGGGTGGAGCAGCTCCACCTTGGTGTTTCCCAGGTCGACAAAAACCACCGAGACGCCGTGTTCTGGCAGAGGGACCGCCTCGCTGACCTGGGCCCCCAAAACATCCTTATAAAATGCGGCAGCCTTCCCCAAATCTGGCACGGCGATGGCCACATGGTTGAGGCGGCCCAGGTTCCAGACAGGCCCTGCCACCTGGTGCAAGCACTGAGACATGGAGAACGCGCCTGCTGTGGGGACTGCAGCCAGGAGTCTGGAAAAGAGCCCTGAAACATTGGACAGCCATGATGTCATTCTCTGCAGAACGGATGCACTTTTACATTTGACTTTAAAAGTCAGACAAATAATACAAGTAAAATTTTGTCATTTATTTACCTATCCTTTTTAATTACTAAAAATAAATTGGGGAAATAAATGGGAAAACTGCGTATCAGAAATACTCACTCTAGGGACCCGCAGATGGCGTGGTGGTTAAGGTGCTGGACACTCCCACGTGGCCAACCACGGTTCGAGTCCCGGACCTGAGGGCTTGCTTTCTCACTTTCCCTCTTTCTCTCTGTGTCTCTCTCTGGTCAAGTTAATAAATGAATGAATAAATAAAATAAAATTAATTTTAAAAAAAGAAAGAAATACTCACTCCGCCCTGTCCATTTAAATAGACTGCTTAAAACATTTCAAAGCCAATTATGGGTGAAGGGATTCAAGTCCCACATGCTGACCATGGTTCGAATCCCAGCCCCAACAGCTCAAAAACACAGCTCGTGTGTGCGCATATCTAAAATCTCAACAGGATGAGAGATGGAGAGGAGATGGCAGCATGATCGCACTCTGCTGGGCTTTTCTCTATGGTGAGCACACATACCCTCTGACAATGAAAAAAAGCCAATTCAGAATAAAGAACGTTGTAACAAAGAGGAGCCCCACATTCGGGACACTCTGCTTCTCACAGGGCGGAGTCAGAAATGAGAACCGATGTAAGTTTACTGAGAAGGGCAAGCACGGTCCCTCCTTACCTAGGCCCCAGCTCTCTGTCTTATAGTCTGAGATGAGATGTCACAGTCGTTACCACAGAGCAGTGTTTTCTTCCTTTGCTATAGGTCACGTGCACTCACTAGAGACAGGGAGAAGTGAGGAAGCACCCCTTGGGGGGGATGGCATCGTGCACTCCCTTCTCTTTCCTTATCCTTTTGGGATGTCGGGTATGCATGTGCACACTCCCGACATGTTTCTCAAGCCGGGTCTGGGATTCGAACCACAGGGTCAGCCACGTGGGATCCAGCTGCCTTAACCTCCACACCACCTGCTGGCCCCACAGTACTTCTCAGAGCATGCTTTATTCTAATGCTTACCAACTGAAGACCTGGAACCTAACTGTTGGGGTAAACACGCAAAGAAAAGCAGGTCCTTAGCTCTCAGGACTTCCTCTGGCCTCAGGAGAACTGGATGCAGAGCTGCTCTGCGGCGATAGCAAGCCCCTGCCGTCTGGCACTGAGACGGCTGCTGGCTGCCTCTCCAGGTGCCCTTGGCCCCAAGGCGCACTCCCAGCCAGCCCTCCCAGAGGGGAAGCGGTGCGCGGGCGTGAGGCCCAGATGCAAGCCGTGACTGCACGTATCCAGTCCACAGGGAGGGCCCATACTTCAGTCTGTATTTGAGAGAGATTTTTCCTACAGGGCGTGTGTGCTCGCCCAACAGAGAGACAGAGTCAGAGTGAGAACTCACCCCCGGGGGATGGCCATGCCGCCGTCCCTTCTCTTGGGATTTTGGGCATGCATGCAAATGCATCCAGTGTGGGTTCAAGCTGCTGGGCCCGGGACTTGAACCAAGGTCGACTGAGTGGGAGTCCAGCAACATGACCATTATGTATCTGCTGGTCCCAGTACACATACTTTAAACAACAGTTTGTGGGTCCAATCTTAATGAAAACCATGTCCACCACTGCCTGCTATTGTAGAGCGTCAGCTAACAATGAAAAATTTCCTCTTAATGGAAAATTTTGATGAGGAAATTACAGTAACACTATCTCATTTCATTCATAAACTGGAGGCACCCTGAGTGAGCTGAAAGCAAAACCCCAACTGAGACATCTGGCTCTGCCTGTCCACACCGCCGAGCCCAGATGCCCCGCTCTGTCCATCCACACCACTGAGCTGAGATGCCTGGCTTCTCATCACCAAGGTGACAGGAGCCTGGCTCACAGGCTCCCATACTCTCAAGGATCCGAGAGCATTCATTTTCTCGCTGTACCTCCTAGAGGGTACAAGCACGCGTCAGACACAGAGAGAAAGCCCCACAATGGAGCACTCACAACACAGTCCCATCTTCCTTTCTCCATCCTGCCAGGATCTGGGGCACGCACGCACACACACACTGGCATGTTATCCAAGCTTCTGGGGCCAGGTTTTAAACCATGGTCAGTCGTGTGACCTTGTGATTGTCACCTCAACCACCAGGCCATAGGGCCAGCCCCCAAGTATATTCTAACCCAGTACACACACATACACAAATGTAAAATAGAAAATTAAATATCATAAAAATAGTAACCCTCACCACATATGATGTATGCTATTTTCTGTTCTACTGGATTTTGTTTAAAAATACTAGTACTCCCGGGGTTGGCAGATGCATGATGGTTATGTTGCTGGACTCCCATGGAGTCAGCTGCAGCTCAAGTCCCTGAACCCAGGGCTTAAAACACACTCCAGCCATGTGTGCAAACGTGCCCAAGATCTTGAGAAGATAACGGAAGAGTGACTGTGGCATGGCCATCCCCCAGGGGGTGATTACTTGCTTTCTATCTGTCTCTCCGGTGAGCGTACCCTAAAGTAAAACAAACAAAAATCTCCCTTAAAAAATACTAGTATTCCCTACTAAATCTGAACGTGCTAACTGGTTATGAAGCTTCGATGGCCGGTGCAGGAAGCACACCACAGTGCCAGGCACACACAGAGGTATGTAGTGTCCACCTAGGCTTGGCCTGGATGGCCACGTGGGCATCCAGCACCTTCACCACCACACCACTGCAGGTCCCTTACCCGCCAAGGTTTGAAAAGCAGATTTAGGGCTAGCCCGTGGTGTGGTGGTGAAGGTGCTGGATTGCACACGGCCAAATGTGTGGCTTGAGTCTTGGACTGAGTGCCTTGGAGAACATGCTGTGTACATGTGTGTGCATGCCCCAAATCCTGAAAGCCAGGAGCAATGGAGAAGGGACAATGTGTAAACAGTGCCCATGGGGTGTGAAGGTGCTATCTCCTTCTCTGGGTGGTCACAGTCACAGAGTAGAGGGTCCTATGCACATGAGACACCCGGGTGGTCAGTCACAGAGAGTAGAGGGTCCTATGCACATGAGACACCTGAGTGGTCACAGTCAGAGTAGAGGGTCCTACGTACATGAGACACCTGAGTGGTCACAGTCAGAGTAGAGTGGCTCCCGCCAGGACCTTTGCGGAGGGGAAGTTTCGTTGCTTAATGAGTGCAGAGTGTAGTCCGGGATGTGAAAGCTCTGAGTGTGAGGCTTGTGCTCTCTGCACTGGGTTGTGAAAGCACTTAAATGCTACTTGGCTGTGCACTGACAAAGGATGAAAGGGCAAATTTTATGGTTTTTCACCATGATTTCTTAAAAACAAGTCGTTAAGGCTTACATATCTAATGGTAGATGAATCAAAGCTGCCTTTGGGATGTGCTACTTGCATTTTACTTTTCCTTTATGCTAAGATGTGTGTATATAAGTTCCAAAACAAGCAGTCTCTCTAGCAGTATTCAGTTCTAGCAGGGTTTGACTCACATGCCTTTTCTACACTGGCAACCACCAAAAGACAGTGGCTGTGGCCAGCAGGTGGTGTGGAGGTTAGGGTGCTGGATCCCACAGGGCCACCTGCAGGGTGGCAGACCGACCCAGAAGCTTCAATGACACGGTGGGCGCGGACGCATGTGTGCCCAAGATCCTGCCAAGGGGAATGGAGAAGACGGCAGTGTGGCCGTCCCCCAGGGGCTGGTCTCTCTCTGTCTCCCCCAGCAAGCGCATACACACTATAGCAAAGTATGTGGGGTGAAAAAGAGAAAACTCATCACAACGTACATATACAAAACACCGTTTCCTGGGTTCAGGGGTCTGTTTCCGTGGTCAGATCGTGTATACCCGAGCACCCGGAGGAGCCACGCGGGCTCCGTGCTGGACTGCGCCGGCGCCTTAGCTGTGGCGGGTACCTGCGGGCAGCAGGGGCCCAGCACAGGGCCTGGCGGATACTCTGCGCCGCACCGGGGTCCTGGTGAGCAGAGCTGCAGAGGGTGCCCTGGGAGCCGGCGGCGGACATCCGGGCACTGCATGCCCCGGTGCACTGCGCTGCTGCTCTACCTCCCTCAGAGCCAGCGGCTGCCCGGACGGCGGCGCCAGCTCCCACCCGGCCCGGCGCCGACACCGCTCTCCTCCGTGGGGCAGCGCAGTGCGGGTGCGCCGAGCGGCGGGTGGCGCCCACACGCTG